TGAGGTCCCAAATTTTCCCCTTTGTGTACAGATGCCTGTACCACTCTGTAACATGAGGTCCTTCCAGAACTAGTGCTCCTGGTTAGTCCCGTAAGACCTTTCACAGAAGTCAGCTTCCAAGCCATCATAATCTTACCTTCCATGAAATAAGACTCCGCTGCCACTAAAATTATTTGAACCTTCTTTTTTTCTGTTTTTTAAAATCTTTGTACGATTTCAAGCCCTATCACCCCTCTGTGCTCAACACGTTCCCAACAACATTTGATGTGTTCTTAGCTGGGCAGATCGGTTAGCCCATCAGTTACTCGATTTATGCATGCATAAGCTTTTAAAGCGTAATATTTGCCCAGTGTTAGCCTAAGGCCAGGATACTCCTCAGGTGTCAAAGAAAGAGGAAAAAACAGAAGATCATATACTGTAGTAAATGCTAATGGAAATTACAAGTGTGTGGGGAGGATGTATAATCTTCAGAAACAGGAGCTACTTGACTAACTTAAAACTGTAACTGCTTGTCTCCCCTGAACAGAAAAGGCCACTTAACCCTCAGAAAAGATTAATTGGATAAAAGGAGTTGAATTCTAGCAACTTGGTACAGAAGCCACCCCTGTAACCCCCCCTGCTACCAAAACCTTGCCACGCAGACCCGTTACATGAACCTACACTGAAAACAACCTGTGCTGTTTAGGTGACAACAGAAGCAGAGCTTGCCAAGCAAAAGATTTAATTCTTACCTTTTTGGTTGTTCTGAATCCAGACAAAACACAACTGGAACAGCTGTGGCCTCTCAAAACAAAGGCCTGGAAGAAACAAAGCTGGTTTTTTGTTTTGTTTATGCTTCTGAAAAAAATGCAAATCTTTGGACAATCACTTTGTAAAGTACAATGGCTTACAGTAAAGTGGAAGTACTTAACTCCTCATAGCATTACAGATGTTGCATATTCTACAAGAAGAAAATGTATTAATTACAGAGGCAAGAAATCCCAGCGCAGTACTCAAACAGCTGCAATTCCTCCCTGACTTACATCTCATGTTTCCAACCATTGCATTTCCAAGCAGAGCTGGGAAAAGACCTGGATTGGAAAGTATTTTTAAAATTTAAAAAAAAAAAAAAAGGATACAGAAAATTCACAAAAATGGTTATGCTTTAGTGTAGGAAAATGTGATATAACTTGTCAATTAAAATCAAGCCTTAAATTACAGTAGGTATGCATGGCCATGATATACTGGAATTAAAATAAACACAGAACGAAAACCAAAACCCTTTCTCCAAGTACAGACACACCTCTCAGACATAAGTACTGAGTCTATCTGGAAATAATTTACCTCAGAATTCCTGAGTGATGCATGGATAAATACTTTTCCATTACCACCCGCCCCCCCAGTCAGAAAATAATACAATACATTGTTGAACTGATCCAGAAAGGTTTTACGTTAAGAACGTAGCTGTTACCATGTATGATCGTGATGCTCTTCCAAATGTGGTTTTAACAGCAAGTGAGCCGTGAATATTTCAGTAAATTCTGCGAAAACTCTTTGAGACTGCTGTCCTCTCTTTTAGGTAACAGAAAGCACCATTCTTGCAAATCAACACTGAATTTTAACCAGTAATTACAAAACCAAAGCTTTTTATGCAGATCAATCAAGTTGATACACTTGGTGCACCGGTTTGTGTCACATTGCAGATGTCAGCAAACACCTTATGGCTCATTCCAGTCAACTTTACTGAACATGTAAGAAATCATCAACAGCGACATTTGTGACCAGCTCCAGCCAGTTTCACCAAATGGCAAAAAGGTCTCCATCCTACAAACGTGACATCCCTGGGGCTTCTTGTGCACTTTGAGGATTAAACCAGAGGAAACATCGCTGCCACCAAAGCAGAACAATTTTCAGTTCTTTCCCATTAACAAATTTAAATCCCCTATCAGCACAGTTAAGGGAGAGGCGACCACTACGTGTTTGCACTCCGGTTTTGCAGAGCATTAGCAGACTTGGAAGAGGCAGACAACCAACTCGCTACATTACATCAACTTAGTCAAAAGCTTTTTTTCCACTTTTCTACCCAGAACACCCATAAATAAGCTCAATCACATAGAAAGGTCGGTCTAGACTTCATCATAGTACTTTCTTGATTAAAGACTACTAAAACTGGAGGAATAATTTGTCAGAGTCAATGCAAAACAGCATTTTTCACTTAGCTGTGAAACGGAAGCCAACACTTAAGAAATCAGAGCATTAGAAGAAAACATGACATTTTTATTATTAATTAATAACTTTTATAGCTCAAATTTAAAAATATTAAATCAGAAACAATTCAAGATTCATGAAGAAAAATCTGGAACTATATACATGCATAATTAAGAATATCTATATTCTTGTCAATATTTAAGTTTTTTGTACAAGTTCTTTCACACAATCATATTTACAAGCATGTCTGTTTAAAACATATGAACATACATCTTTTATAGCATTTACAAATCACTTGAATATAATTTTTTTCTTACAAACAAAACAGTATTTCATTGATTTGTCAGATTTGGTTTCATCATATGGTACTGGACAGGTATTTATCCAGTGGGATGGAAAGAGTTACCATTACTCAATTATCTAAGTGACAGTCATCCTACTGGTACCCAGAATTATCATATATGGCTTTAAATCCCTCCCAAACTCAAAGGATCATCTCACAGGTACAAACTACAGTCCCTGTGTCATGTTTCTAATTAAAGTCTTGAGCCTTTGTTTGGGTTAGATCCACAACTCGGCAAACACTTTCTAAGCACGTACTCAGAAATAAGAAGCCCTTCTAATTTAAAGGAAAACCAACTCTGCTTCCAGTCAAGTCAAGCACACCTTAAGTATGTATAAAATTGGATGTATGGACTTTTCCAGACATTCTAGCTACCTTTATAGATCTTTTATTATTGTGGGATAACATGGTTTTGAAGAAACAATATTTGTGGGGATTTACAGGAATCAAGTGAGAGATCTTCTAAGAAGGGGAAGAACGCATTTTTGTCAAAATACGATTTTTTTTACAAAAAAAAATCTGAGGAGGTTTTGTACCTAACATATCTAAGTTACTGATACAATCCAACCAGTCATACCACTATCTAGTAACAAGGTCTGGCTTCAGAAATTAACTGAAAATTTGTCAGCTTGCTTGCTTTTGGCTGGGAAAAAACCCCAACCTTTTGGCTTTGGCAAATCAAGTAGCCATCTCCTTTGAACACTGTTCTCTAGAGCTCCTGCACCGACTGTTCCACAGTTTGTTCTTCTACAGGCTGCATAGCTTCCTGAACATAAACTATGAACTCTGAAGCCTCTCCACCCTGTGTATAGACAGTCACCGTCTCAATTCCCTCCACTTCATCTGATGAGACTACCAGGTGATGCTGTTCAGACAGCTCCACTGAAGCCTGCTGCAGTGTCTCTTGAATCATCAAAGTGTGATTGGCTGATTGCTCCTCTTCTTTTACCTAAGGAGAGATTGAAGAGATTACAGACATTTCACCTTTCCAGTAAGTACCTGGTATTGTGATGATTAATGGAAATACAGCACAGAAATTAGAAATCAGACAGTTTTGAAATAAAATCTGTTTTACAGAAAATTTGCTGTGAGCACTTCTGATTAATAAGTGTTTAGCTACACAGAATACTGAAAGCATTAACACAGCATCTCAGTTATACGCCCGGAGAGCTGCAAAGTTCCAGGAACACAGGTCTTTGGAGACACCTTTAATCTCTCAGCAGTCATTCATTCAAAACCACTCTTATTTAAATAAATCTGAAGTCAAACAATTCCTCTCGTAGCACTGAGATGAGAATCCATTGAAAACTACATGAAAAAACATCTACTGTACCCATTTATTTATTTTTCTTTTTTTTTTTCTTTTCCCCCTAGCCAACCGATTGATCATAGAAGTAAACATTTAATTGTAAACCCTAATGGACTTCTATTAGAAAACTGAAATGTAAATATTACTGAAATAGAATCCTAAGACCTACTGTTTGTGAGGCAGCAATTTTTACAGTATTGCAAGGATAGTGACAGAAACAATCGAAAATAAAAGATTTTTTACTGAACATTTTGCTTCTTGTCAAAAAGAAAAAAACCAACACAACTTGGTATCGAACTTCAAAGAGTTCCAACAGCTGTCTGTCAACGACTAAAACACAATACTTCACTAGAACTCAAGAATAAATCTTAATCCTTTACCAGATCCATACAAAATTCCTGTGCAAAGCACTCCAGGCCTGTAAAAACGCATCAGAAACCTAAGTCAAGTGGAGGAAATGCATTCTCTCAAGTGTTAGTGTTACAGCAATGCACTTTTGAGGAAAGAATGGAACAGCAATTTTTTAGTACGCAAGATATATGCAAAGGCATTTGTTAGACGTTTTCAGCCCAATACCACTCCCTGTGTTCATTGAAGAGCGCTGTTTTATTTGCTGGATCATAAACGCCAACCCACCTGCAAACGCAACACGCAGTTAATCAAACCCTCTCTTCCTTCTCTTTTCAGAAAATGGGTTGTTTTTGTTAAGGCCTATTTCTCTTTCATTTAGGCTTAGCAAATGTTTCAAAAAGCAAGCTTCCAGAGATAAATCGTGTTTATGTCTCACTGTAAGAAAGTAGCTGATTGAATTTATAGGGGGTCACGTTCTCTGTAAGAGATACTTTTTTCATATCATCAAGTGCATTTATAAATTTTCCAGTTACACAAACAACAGGGAACAAAGACAGAATTGCTGGCTCACCTGAATCTCATGATGGAAAGCAAAACTCCATGGTACTTCCAAGAACCATATGAAGTGGAGTAAGAAGAGAACGAAGGATTGATAGAGATCAATTTACTGGATCTCAGTGTACCCTTGTATCTCAGAGCAGTATATGGTGTGCTCTCCACAGCACTGAACTCGTGATTTTAAAAAGAACAGGAATCTAAATCGTACAAATTAGAAAGGGGCTATTTTTTTTTTTTTTTAATTAGAAGCTGATTCAGTAGTTCTCCAATGATCATTTATACATCATTGTTTTGTAAACTGTAGTATTAGAACAAGCAAGTTCAGGAAAATATAATTCAGATCAGCATGGTTGCTCAAGAGGGGAGCGGGAACAGAAGGCAAGAACTACAGTGAAGATTCCAAGCACGTGTTTGACTCCTTAGAGACCAGCAAGGAGAAAAAGAAGTTCTGTATGTTTGTTTTCCTGATGCTCTCTTCAAATTTCTTTTTTTTTTTCTCTAAGCAACCATTTCCATTGTTGTACGCTGCCTTTTCTTTTAACTTTTTCATTCAGTGCTTAAAATATCCGTCAGATGAAGATTTCAGAAACGCACAAACCCCTTAGGACTTCATATCACTTTGAACTTTTACTCAATTCGTCAGGCTATACAAAGCTTTTTCTTGAACAATAACAAGTATGTTCCGGTGTTAAATTATTCAGAGGTCCCAGAGTCAGTATGCCTGCAACATATTGATGAAACATAAGTGGATTTTATCTGGTGAAAGATTTAACATCTAAAGAGATTCTTGCCATTATCATCGACCTTAATGCAACAGCACAATTGTACCTCTTGATGCTGACTCCGGCTTTGTTGCACAGGATTTGGCTTATAGGGATAAAACTACAGGGATGGGCTGAAGTCCTTTCCGCGTTCTGTTTCTTTTACCAAGCATATCTGAACATTTTAATTGAAAGTTGCTTTAAACAGCTCCTGCTGAACTCAACATACCACAAAAGTGGGTGATGCTGGACGCTTGTCTTGACACAATAAAATTTGTAACCACCCTCAGAAAAGCTAATTCATGTTGTCAGAAGATACAGGGATGACAAAAGCACCTTTTACCAATGGAATCTTGAGCCTCTCTTCAAAAAGCAAGCAGCTAAATCATGAAAAGAAACAGCACTGTTAACTTTCTTCTCTTGTTCCTCCTCACACATCCTTTTTTTTTTAATTATTAAAGAAATGCTAAGTCCTACTGAAAGCAACAGGAATTTTGTGAATTCATACACACAACACCCTTTTCATAACTGCCCTCTTCTCTGTCCTGAGGCTACCTGCTCCAGTCTCATCTCCCATGTGAAAGGAAAGGACACACACAGGATCTACTAATGGAGATCATAATAGGCAAACGAAAGTCTCATCACAAACAAATTCAGATAGGAAGCTCCAGTTAAAAATGTTAGATAATTAAAATCTCACGGTTTATTATGAATCAGCTCACAATAACAGCCCTTGATGCTAAAGACCCTCAAATCTCAAACAAATACACAAATAACGGTGTCTAAAATTTGGCCCTTTAATTATGTAACGTACCCTAACTTCTCTGGGTACATTATCCTCTGACAACGTGCCTCAGGCCAGAAAAATTGCACTGCGTTTACTAAGAGCTGCAAGAATGCACAACACAGCCTGAGAAGGATCTTGTACGGTCTCACTTCACTCACTCTAAATCAAAACTCATAAATAATTTTAAGTATAGTTTGGGGAGTGTACATAAATAATGAAGAAAGGAAAATAAATAAAGCACAGCTGACACAAAAATGAAATGAAACCAGAATCTCATTCAATCCAACAGCAGCAATCTAATACTTACTCTGTTTTATATGCTTTTGAAATGAAAACGGCCAATAAAGAAAGTTAATTTAACCTCCCTACCTGAGTTTATCGATGTGGTTTTATTACCCTTGTCATGTGGGGTAAAGAAGACTAATGCCCTTGCTTCTGGTGTTTCTAGCTTCCAGTATCTTTTTTTTGGACAGCTATCTGTAATCCTTTTAGTTTGACAAATCACCACATTATTTTGGATATTTACATTTCAAATCAGTTCAATGTTTACATGGTTCTGCTTGGTTCCTATTAGATTGTTCCACAGGGAATAATCTCAAAACGTTAATTTACATCCCTCAAATTGATGAAACAGTGGGACAGCTGCCATCAGAATGAATGAAGTCACTACACTCAATTCTTTTTATTGGCGTCTGAAATCTTTTGAAGAGTAGCATCCAAGACCTCTTTTCTGTTTGAGAGCCAGCTGAAAAGCATCTGGCTGCTTATCCTTCACTAAAGAATGACAGCAAGAAGCTGAAGCAAGAAGCTGAAGCCACACACAGCTGGCATATTAAATTAATTCAGTACCTGCATAAATATTCTTTACTAGCTAAATGTGTCTCTCACCAAAGCCAATGGGACTTTCACCCCCGTGTCTTCATAAGAAGCTCAACATTTCTAAATGATAAATGTTCTTAATTTAAATATCTGAGGACCATCCAAATAATGTAAGTGACATTAAATATGGGTATCTCTTAGAGGAATCTCTTCCTCCCAAAACAAGCAAGTCTTTTTTAATTTGAGAGAAATTATTCAAGCCATTAAGAAAAATATACTTCTTCCCTTCCCTGGAAAGGAGTAAAAGAAAATATTTGCAGTAAGATGCTAAAAGCTGCTTTCTTAGTCTAGAGCTCATCCTGAGAAATAATGAGTAGCTTCAATTTTCTTTGAAGTCAGAAGGAGCTGCAGGTCCATAGTGTTTAAAACAGCCTTGCTGGGCTTGACCCAAAATCTCTACAGAATCTTTCCCTTGATTTCAGCTTGAATGCTGCCTTTCAGTTTACCATGAAGAAGGAAAGTTAATCACAGAGATCTTGCAGGATTTGAAAACGTTACACTAGGTTATAGATGCTCCTATTTGTATCAGAAGACACCACAGCAAGAAAATATATCAAATATCTACAGAAAAGATTAAAAGGAAAAGTGAATATAAGCATTCCAAACCACAGACGGTACCTGGATACGTGATGTGCCAGCTTACGTTGGTGCCTACAGGACCGTCCCTACCGTTTTGTTCAGTGCCATTTGAATAATTCGAACTCTCTCTCTTGGTACTAGTTTACATATAGATATATTGTGTGAAAAACACATGCAGACACTCACAGTAAACACTGTAATTTGATCATATGAACTCCCATAATGAGCTACAAAACAAAGACAATCTGGCGCACAATAGTTTCAGAATAATAAGAGACTTCAACATGAAAGACTTGCTTTGCATAAAATAAAAAATGCAAGGTGGCAACCAAACGTTCACACTGGTGGTGCAGATTTTTAAGAAGTTTGAGTAACTGACTGGATGAATACATCCTGACAGAGAGAGTGTGACTGGCAACTTCATTCACCTGGCAAAACGCCGCATCACGGATTTTCTTCTGAGGAAGTATGACAACGCTGCCATCATTTCAAGAGTTCTAGCAGGGCAGTAATCTTGACATGAGATATGTTACACAGATGACAAGAACTCCACAGAGGCCGAGAAAACAGGGCCATCTGCCCCAGTTAAAACTTTCCTTTGCTAGTACTGTCATGTTAAGCATCAAATTGCTCCATGTCCTCAAGCAACTGCAAACTCGACCATCAACCTACATCTAACTCCATGTATTGGCAGATCTTCTAGATGGAACACCAGCACCCAGCAC